GAATTTCTTCCCTTACCCGCCTGGTCGGGCACTTAAAAAAGGTCTTCGCTGAGAAGATCAACGAACCAGGCGGTTTTCATGGGTTTGTTTTAATAGGGGGAATTTAGGGTGTTTTTGACCGTTTGTTGCAAGAAAGTCTGCAACACCTTCTTTCACTCTCAGTATGGGTAAACAGCTAAGCTAGAGTCCCACACAACCCAGAACGCCGGATGATTAGCTCTTGGTGTGCGTAAGAGAGCATTTCCCAACCCAAACCTCACCGAACAAATGAAATAAAAAAATGTTTATATTCTTGAAAAAAAAATTCTCTAAACCAACTTCCAATGGTAAACGCAACAAACTGATGATTGAATTGCCATACAACTAATAATGTGATCTACCCATGCAGATGCATTGGCCATTTTACGGCGCAAATGTGCGACGTGTCCGTGTTTTCAAAAACTACACGATCTTGAACTGCAGTTGAATTTGCAGATATAGATATGCTTAAATAATGTTATCCAGTCATGCGAGCTCGTTGGGCAAATGTCGAATATCTTAGATATTAATCCCTTTCAATATTTTCTAGTATTTGGATTTGATCAGTTTGTAGTTATCTCAAGTCAGCTGAATAAAAACATCGAAACAACATTGGATCCAAACGTTTAGCTCACCATCTAATATAAATTCCTAGTAGATTTGCGCAAGGAAGAAACGACGCAGTGAATTGCCAACTAGGCAATAAGGTTATAACATTTTTATAGCAAAGGAAACCAGACTTAATCGACGTAATACCATTTCACATTTATATATATTCAGTAATTATTACAAAATAAACATCACAGTTAACATATAGCGCTTAAACTAAATTAATTACTTTAAATTAAATTTTGCTATCCATTTTCGATATTAGTTTCAATTTGACTGCTGAAAGGCAAGGATATACACTTCATAATAAATACTTTCTAAATCCCTTATTTTGTTGCCTTTCAACATGAATGAGCTCTTTTTCGATATATGATCTGTAAATCAGGTTAATAAGAGTCTGCTGGCTTGGAAAAGTGTAAGACTTTTGGTAGAAAAGTATATGTGGAGCAAAAAGCTATACAGGAGTTATAACTCATCGGTTAATGAATTATAACTCGCCTACTCAGAGAGCGGCAACAATTCAAAAGCGCAGCTCATCACAGTGTTACCCAAGCCTAAGTCAGACTATAATAGTTTTCGTGTCAGATAGGCAATTGTCTAACATACATTTAATAGGACCACAAACTGAAAGCGACCTCACAGTCTGGAACGTGGTATAGTAATATTCATGAAAAAAAACTAGTTGAACAAGCTGACTCTGCAAGGACTGAATTCGTGCAACTATTCAGCAACTGCTTAAGGAATATAAATCCGAACTGAAATACCGCCATTAATAATATTTGGAGGATCGCGGCACGATTAGTTGCCTTAGAATTTCTTACTGAATGCAAAACTTGCCGTTCAATTTCAACAGCTGGTTTCGTATTAAAGTTAATATTATATTCATACTTATATACACAAAAAGGTGTAGAAATAATTTAGCAAATCAAATTTAAAGATATTTTCTGAATGTTCTGTGAAGAACTTTGCCTCAGGAGCCTCTGATTAAAACGTTTTCGTTTTGCATGCAGGGTGATGTACACAGACCGTGCATTAGAAGTTTTCCAACTTGCAGTTGTTTTAGAAACTTCAAGTTTTGTTTACGGTCATGAATCGGGCCGAAACCATGTAAAACATTTAGCCTTCCAACTGTACAGGGTGTAGGAAAAGTATGACTGAACTTTCTTGTTTTAAATGCAATCCCCAAATTTGCTCAGCCTGGTTACATTATCCAATTAATTAATAATACAGGGTGATTCAAAATTGTCATCCAAAACCACCTGTTAAAGGTTATGTATCATTGATCAAATAAAATACAATTCTGTTGTTAAAACACAAGCAGTGTTGCGAGCAAGAACTCCTGCCCGTTTCACTCCAAACATCTTTGTGTCCCAATCACTTTGAGTCTGGGCTCATATTTTCAGCAGCTTGTCGTGTTCGGTTAATTAACTTCTGCTCAATTTCAACCAGTGTTCGGAAGATCAGAGATTTAATGTGTTCTAGTGTCCTGAGTATATTACAAACATGGTAGGAATGTACGCCCTTCCTCGGGCGAGTTGTCGGGACAATTAAGTATCCGATGTTTGAGAAAGTGCAGTTGTTGTGCAATGCTTCAAGTACGCCTGGAAGGCTCAGCTGCAATAATCTCCAATACCTGTTCCTCTAGGTCTGGAAACCGAGCACCTTTAGATTGTCCACCATCTGCGTCCATTTCGGGCCACTCGTCTAGTGTGTAGTAACTTGACAAAAAGATGGTAATTTTTCTTTTCGAATGCTTAAGTATTCCAATATGCTACCAATCAAACGTGGGACTTTTTCAAAATTATGCTTAATAACAAAGTTGAAATTTGATCTTCAACTGTTAATAATGTACCGTGGATGGCCGAATATCAAACTCTTTCTTCAGCTTCCAACTTTTATTTACCTCGGTATAACTTTAAATGCGGAACAGAAACAAACTAACTTCAAAATTACCGTCAACTTCACAAACAATAACAATAACAGGCGGAAAACTCGCTCGTGCGACTCGCGGGGTTTAATTTCTTCTTCACCCGGTCGTTGCTGTCACTCCACTTCCATGTCTACTATTTGAACATATTTATTTTCAGCCTTCCATGTCTGGTTCTCGTCGTCGCTTATATAGTTTCCTCCAGGTAACCCAGATAGTTCTCGAAATGTCCAGAACAGGTACGAAACTTCCTGCTTGTCAGTGTCATATTTGACAGTAAATGGGGCCCAAATGGGGCTCCCATTCACTGAAATACCATGAATTTCGATCCCCCCATTCCAAACGTGAGTACCCCAGGCCATTTTTGAAATTTTTTTTTATATATTTTTTCCTACTCTCTAAGTGACATATATACTATATACCCTTAAAAGGAATGACGCCAATTTTAAATCATTCTGTTTAATAATTATGACATTGATCAATTGAATTAAGACATCCAACTGTTCATAATGGAAAACTCGAAAGGCGTTGGAAATGACAGCTGCCAACATTATAATATCGACAGAAGTGTCAAAGAACCTTGGATTCAAATAGGTATCAATCGATCGGAATGCCAATGAATTGGTGATGATGGTCGTTAAACAAAATTTGGGAGAACATTTTTGACAGCTGTCAAAAACTGAGATTATACGTGTAAATTTCGTTTAAAATTTGCGAGAAAATGCAACAATTGGATAAATGGTGTGACGCAGCGATTAGAGCTACCTGCAGCTGGGCCAGCTTTATGTAGCTGCCCATCATTCAGCTAGATGTAATTTTTGGTCGCAGTGGCACATGGCTGGGTAACTATAACAAAAATTTCAACACGAATGAAGCTAGAGCACCCGATAGATTTGCTACCCGATTGACATGATGATGGAAAATAATTTGCGAAAATTCGAAATGTGATCCGATTTTAAAGCTGATAAGACCGTTCGAAAGAGGAGGTATTGGACGCATCGCATACAGTTAGATACTTGATGGAACAAAATTTTTACTATCAGATTTGGGCAAACGATTGCACGATCAAAAATGTTTCCACTCAAAAGTAATGTGGTTGAAAACTTCGCTGGATGACCCTTTCGACAAATAGACATGAATTAATGCCAAGATCGATGCTGAACAAACGTGTTGAATGGTTTTCAACATTTCCGAATGTTTTCCAAAGTTGTTCCACCAATCGATAGCTAAAAGATCCAGCGATCGATTTGTCAAGTCGAAAATGTAAACATTGCTAATGTGACAGTCCTGCAAATTAGTGAATGTGATTTTGTCGGTAAAAACAATGGAGGTCATAGAACGCCATCTATGAGCAGTCATGTAAAATTTCCATCCGTCCGCAGTGAACGGTAAGCATTTAGGCATTTTTTGAAAATTTTTCCACAAAAATTGTAGCTGAGGTTAGAATCCAAAAATGTAATAAATAATATACAGGGTGTTCCATTTAAAATAAGCGTACCTAAAGTACATACTTCCGGTATATCCGAAACTGGTACAAACTTGCACATATTTTAAACGATTTAGCTCCAACATCATTATCTTGGATTGAAATTTTCAGAACTCTTGGTTTTTAGCGTAGGCGCCCAAAGACGAATCCAGCATGTCAATTGTTTAAGAAAAAATGCCATTAAAGATGTTTACCGAACAAGCTTTATCTAAGGAACGGTGCTGAATTGTCAGGGGAGTTAGTTTAGGCATGAGAAGTTTTTAAAACAACTGTAAGTTGGAAAAGTTCTATTGCATCGTCACCGTAAATTACCCTGTATAGCTACATAAAATACTATTAATGCGAAACAATAGATGGATAAAGTTACTTAATTTTAGACACTATTCTACGTCATCTAAGCTTGCAAGCTTCTTTTCCCCTTTTACTTTTTTAATATATACGAAACTAAATTAGACTTATTTTATTAATAAAGACATTTAGGTAATATATTGCATACTTTCTTATCTAATCAGCAAACTATGCCTTTTTTGGTCTGTGGGCTTATCGGTTCTAAGATGGAGGCAAAAAATGAAATATTATTTATGTGGGCCAACGTTTCGTCTATGTTTAAGCCATACTCAGGACTCTAAAATGGAAAACCGAAGGGGTTTCAGCTCTAAATCTAGAAAAGTTAACTTAATTTAGTTAATCACACCAGTCCTCAATGAGACTTAATCATTCAGTCGTCAATCAAAATAAAAGGAAAGAGAAGCTTAATGTTAGAGAAAAATCAAAACTACACAGACCCAAATAGCCATAATTTACTGAAAACCATCAAGGTCTCCAATCAAGTTTCTTAAATTTAATTACGATTTACAGAAAGCTGCTTTCTTCCCCCGTCGCAATGAGGTTACTCTTGCCGTTTTTGACAGAGGTAACACGCACTTGAACGGTACCACCTCCTATGCTGTTTTGCATTCTAGACCTGTAGTAGAAACCAGAGCACTCTAAAACGTTTCTTCTGGATTCGCAGCAAATTCCCAGGGCTGCTAGATACATTCGATATGTGCCATCCTAATAAATTTAAAACAGCAAGTAATCAGTAAACTCACCTTAATTCGAGTACTGTACCTTAATTTCTCTCATTCGGATGCTGTAGATAATCGGATTAGCCAACATCTTTAGTATAATCAGGATGTTATCGATGAGGCGCAAAGCTAAGATGGGGTAAGGATATTCGCAGTTTAGAGTTATGATGTTTTCACCCGAAATGTAGCAGCCGACCGTGCACGTCATCGTGTAGATCAACAAAGCCGGAGTCCATCCGATGACACAGGACCCAACAATTAGTAGGGTCGTGTATATAGCTCTTACGTTGCCTTCAAGCTGTTTGCGCTCCTTGGTCAGCTTCTCACTAGGCTTACCTTTAAGAGATATAGCTATGTTACGGTCAGTTTGATTGAGTCGGGCATTATCTATAATATCCGGGAAATTTGAAAACGCTTGGTAAAATTCGGCGTTTTAATAATTTTGTATTTGCATACCAACATTTATTACATTGCCCGGTCATTATAATATATACTGCAATTATATACCTAGGCACTTTGATTTTTTATCAAATTGGGTAAGTGCAAATACGCTAAGAATCTATGGCGCACGCCCCATCTACTGGATTATATTGTAAGTTTTGAAGTAGTACGAGTTAAGGCTGATTCACACTATCAGGCACCCGGCCAAGACAGGACCGAACATTTTAATTAGATTAAAATGTTGTCAAAGCAGTCAGAGGCAACCAGTCAAGCTGTCAGAGGCGTGCGTGACAAAAGTAATTACTTTCCACACAGGATCAATAAAAATTGAATAATGGGGAACAGGTAATATTCGAAAACAGTGACGAAACAACCTTATTTCCACCAAGGGATCGAGACATGCACATTACTCGGTGTTGCCTCGGGCGTCAACTTCACAGAGTGGCGGAACAAAAAACGGCTTCCCTAATGTCAAAAAAGTCAGCTGACAAAAATAGAGATATTTTTTCGAGTCAATTTCTTGTAATTTTTTGAGTTTCTCGGTTCTTAGACCGACGTCTTGCATTTGTCCGTAATTACACACCGGCTAAGGGAAACCAGAGACATCCTCTCTGAACTCCAGTTAGGTGATTCATAGCAGACGTGTTCACGTCGCGGGGTGAGCCCGGTTCGTTTTTTGAGGAGTCGGTGGCTGAGTTCTGCTATGGACACAGTTTAGTAGCAACTTCATATATAATGCTGAGAATCCCTTAGACAGGTCATAGAACAAATATTTCCATACGCAGAGAACTGGATATTAAAGATCATGAAAGCCTCGTTCCATGAATACAGAGGCGGATACTTAAATATGAATGAATATAAAAAGGACGGGATGGAGAAGACTGTGATCCAAGGAAAAGTGGACGGCAAACGAACTAGAAATAGACCTCCTGTAAGATTCATGAACCAAGTCAAGGACTCAAAGGAGTCCAAGTCAAGGACCTCACAAGTATGTGTTGGAGAAAGGCGGAAGAGTGTAGACAAGCCAAAGAGTTGATTGGAATGTCAGGCGAGGCCACGGCAACGTGGCTGATGTCAAGGAGTCGCTGGGCCTTGAGAACTCTGGTTGGGGTCATGACAGGCCACTGCGATCTGAACAGAGACCTACACCTACTTAGAAGCGGTGTGAGCCCCGTATGTCAACAATGTGGTCGTGTCAGCACTGGTCGTCAATAAGGAGGCGCCTGCTTGGGGCCTCCGCACTCTCCTGCAGGGAACTGTCTTTCCTAGAGTGGAGACGGATTCTTGCCTTCGTGAGGGAGACGGGACGCTTGGGTGGTGATGAGGAGGGGTAGTAAGGCGGGGGCGTATGGAGGGGACTGGACCCTGGACTGGGGAGTATGGAGGGGTATGGGCGGGACTGTATGGAGGAGGATACGTTACGAGAAATATATTTCGCCGTCCAAGAAGGCAGAAAGGTTCCAAAAGGATTCAATAAAGAGAAATTATCAACCCAAGATGGATGTTTATTAAAAGGATTTTGCGTTGTCATTCCGAAAAACCTGAGGAAACAAATTCTACAAGAAATACACATGGCACACACAGGAATAGTGAAAATGAAACCCTTGGCAAGAGGCCACGTATGGTGGGCGAGGAATCGACGCAGATATTGAAAATACAGCTAGAGCTTGTTTATCTTGTTGCAAAACCCGTAATAATCCTTCTAAGACAACGGTCCACCCATAGGCCTACGCAAGTGCCCCATGACAGAGAATACATATCGACTATACCGGACCATTTTACGGCACATATTTGTTGAGTGTAGTTGACTATTATTCGTATTATGATTTTCTGGAAGTTTGACTAGTTTCTGGAGTAAAAATAATCACACGTTTTTTTCGGTATCTGAGAATGAACTAACCTTATTATTTAATAAGGTAAGAATTCCTTCATTTGAACAGTGTTGCCAAATCGGAGGGTAAAAATAACTCGTTTGGACTACCATTCAACAATTCGAAGTGGCTCAAAGTTGTTCCACTAAGGCAATAACATCTACATCGACAATAAATATTCTTCAGGAAATATTTTCAAAGTTCGGATTACCGTTCACTCTGGTATCAGACAACGGGAAAAATTTTAAATTGCTTAAGTTTGACGAATTTCTAAAGAGTAACGGCATTAACCACAACGTAACCGCACCGCATCAACTAGACGGATGACCCAAACTAACCCAAACTAACGGTCAAACCGAACGCTATGTCCACATTAGAAGTCGGTTATCCGACGAAGGAGATTATAAACTAAAGTTGTATCGTTTCTTGATGTACTATAGGAAGACGCAAAATTGAACTACTTCTGTGAGCCCTGCTGAATTAATGTTTAACAGAAATATTCGAACGAGGCTCGATTTGGTTAGACGTAACATCACTTCGGACATTAGCGAGAAACAATTAAGTAACAACAGGAGGTGCAAGGTAGAAACTACACTAATTCAGCTAGAAAGTGGGATTTCGGCACGATCGTGGAAAGGAAGGGAAACTTACATTGCATTGTCCTTATTCAGCAACGTACGCAAAGGAGACTTGTCGACCAGCTCTTACATTTTGCTGGGAAAATTCCAACCGTCCAACGTCCGATCGATGAGGAAAAGGACTTGCAAGAAGAAGAGCTTCTAGTTGCAGAAGTCAAAAATGTCGAAGAGATTCCACAACAGCTTACACCTGAGAACCCTACGACCGAAGTTCCAGAGCCACGCCGCTCCCGGACGTACAGGAAAGCTCCTCAGTGCCTCAACCTCTAGATTACGGGGAGGATACTGTTGCCTCCGCACTATACAGGCGGCAACGCCACACAGAGCCACCAGCAGTGTCAGATCAGATGTATTATCATTAAAGTTTGTACGAGAATTTGAGGAAGAGGAACTTGTAAATACATAACAATAATATAGCAACCAGGAAAGAGAAAATCAAGCCAATTTTCAATTTAAGCGTAAAATTTCAATTAAAGACTCGTACACTAAACGCTCAAGTCGCTATCCCTCCCACTGTGGAATGTTCTATGTATAGATGAAGCTACAGCTATGATGAAGACAAATGGTTCTATGGTCGCTACCACAGATTTCAGAGGTTGCTGTGGTCATAGATAAAGACAAAAAAATGGTAGCTACTCAACAGGCAATCGAAATTGCATATGTGATAACCTGATATGATGCAACCTGATAAGATGCAACCTGATAACCGAGACAAGGGATAGTCTGTTCTTGTCTGCTTGATAATTCTAAACACATTATTACTTTGTTGGCAAGTTGGCAACATAGCTTGTATTTTTCGGGGACTGATATGGTATGTTAATATGACTCTTGTGAATACTTCTGAAAAATATTTATGTTTGGCTGGGGATCGAACTCGGGATCTCAGGCATGACAGGCGGATGCGTGCACCACCACACCACTGTGACCACTGGATTAATCATTAAATCACCAAGAAATTGAATAAAAGGTAAAATATTAGAATTTTATTTTATCATCTAATCATTAAATTTGCTATTCTATGAGATCCAATCGGAATAACTGGAGTAATTCGGCAATCTTTTTTATTCACAGGTCAGTAAAAAATCCCTTTTAAACGAAAATTACGGCCCTACCACTTCCAAAATCGAACAGTCAGTCCTGTAGGAAAATCTTTAATTTTTAATTCAATAGCACCTTCACTGCGAATGAATTAAATTATGTTTAATTTACATTTTCGATCTATATTCGAAGATCTTAAGTCCTAAATTTAATAGTCAAAGTCGCATGCCATTCCAACAAACTAAAGCAAAACTGTATCCAATCTAAAATCCAATAATTGTTGAAATACCAAAATCTGGTGACATTAATAAACACTTATAATGAATATTCGTTCGATTTAATAAGCCATTTTAATCTTTCAAAATTAATTCCAAATCCAATAGAATCTAAAGATTATTCGTTTCCATAAAAGAATAAAACGCAGATTAATTAATGAGTTTGGTTCAATATTTAAAGCGGTTTCAGGAAAGCTGAAGGCTGGCTTTCAATTGAGAGTGGAGAATGTCAGGAACAAGTAAATGTGTAAAACCAATTTCTAGCAGTTATGATAACTAAAGTTTTATTAGGATATTCGAACTCATTCCAGTTGAAGATTATACGCGCTGTTAAATGAGAAGTTCAACTGATCATAGAACGCATTAGTATCAATTACTGCAAATTTGGGGGCCCTTTTAGACTTAATGTTAAGGGGGTAAAGTAAAAATTTGTGCTAGATTGGCATTCGCATTCCAAGAGTTGATAAAAAAAGCTGTACAACAAAAACACAAAAGAAAATAATTACCTTTAATTCGTTTACTTCCAATTCTGGACAGATTGTTCCATCTGTTTTGCTGTTTCTTCACCACTAGCAGAATGTGACTGTAGCAACTCATCATGATAAAGATGGGCACAAAGAAGAGAGACGAGTATGTTATTCTGAAGGAAAACGTGTCCATAAATCTGAAATAAAATATTACTTCTTCAGGACCTGAAAGTAGCCACCCAGTGCGAAAATTATATACCATATTGTAATGTAGTAATAGTTCTATATGTGAGGAGGTGCCAAGCAAAACCCCAAAAGTCTGGCAAAACCAAAATTTCGCAAATGCTGTACAACTATTTTATAGTATAATTTTATACTTGCATTTCTGTGTTTTTATTGTATGTGTACGAACGCGCCTTTTGTTATGCAGCTAAGTTGCAAGTAGTGATGGGAAAAAGTGACTAATCGGTATTCGAGATCTCGATACTCATCAGTATCCGAAGTAACAAATACCGAACCAAGCTACCAAACGAGTATTCAAGTAATCAGTAATCGTTCCCGTAAAACCAAGTCACCCATCCTATGGCCGCATGGTAAACTTTAATTATATTTTAACATTTACATTTATAATATAAAATGTAACATGATAATTGTACCTTATTTCGTAACTGCATATTTGTAAAAAGACGTTTTTTAAAATTGATAATTGTCGCACTGTATTACTACTGTACCAACATTTATTTATGGATGTGTGGCATCTTGCTTCACAGAATTTTCAGACACAGACTTGCTTTCAAAAAGACAATTTATTTAGAAACTGCAGGTATTAACAACTATGACAATATCTACAATATATAATCAGCCCTGTGCTATATCATAAATGCTATTTTTAACGGCCACTCGTTATGGCAGCTTAACAGTTCAGAATAACATTTTCGATAACGCAGCAACACAACCGAGGTGTGCTATATCTCCGAGTTAACGTATGCGTTTCCGACCCAGTTATCCAACAAACGTTAAAAAGGAAAACCATATTGGATGCATAAAGTGAGATGCCCATATACGAATAGTCTATTATTTAAAGAGAGAGTTATCATCAAACCATCAAATCTTCTAAAACATATGCATCACATGTGCACGTTTTGACCATTTGGACCACCTACTACCATACTTGTCTTTGTTTATGATTTGCATTTACTTTCAATTTCGTTCGTTATTGTTCTTGACCTATCTTCTCAAACACTTTAAATGGAGCATGTACAGAAGAGGCAGAAAAAACAACCCACAAACAATTTGAAAATTTAGTAGAGTTTGTGAAGGAAAATTAAGTTTATTTTCAAGACCATTTACTAATTGTTCTAATAAAGCTAACCTTATAAGGCCACCAAAAGAGATATTTTTGTTTTAAATTAAAAACAAATTATAGCTTAAACACAAAACTACCCTCTGATTAAACACAATAGTTTTGTTTATTCCTCCGAGCTTAACTTCGAGAGATGCACGTTAAGTTCGATAGCGGCATGTGATTTGATGCTGTTATTCTGAAGCGCTATTTCTTAATATAACGTTCGTCGATAGCGTGCGCCTGTTATAATATGACGGTTTGACTGATACAACACACCAGTTGGAGCCACATAACGTGTTTGACGGATAACATGCACGTTAAAGTTAACGTGAGTGATACAGCACAGGGCTGAATATATAATATCAAACAGAGCCATGCACCCAACCCAAGTATTAGAAGTCTGAAGCCTGACCTGAGCCAAGGATCCGGGCACTCTTTAGTCGTGTGTGAGTTGCGAATAAATATACAGAGCAGAAAGTACCAGACAACACGACTGAAGAAAAACTGAACAGAGAAAGTCGGAGAGACAACAACAACAGCACTATACCAAGCTCGTTTAAATAAAAAAATCTAGGGGAACTCCGTTACGGAAGTAGACGATCCACAAAGGTGCTGGGAGAAGATAAACACGAATATCACCAACGCAGCTATCGAGGCCCGTGAGAGTGGAAGTTAATAAAGCTTCCCGTAACAAACAATGGTAGACACCCGAAGACCCGAGTCAACACATAAATCAGAATCATAAAACGGATAACATGCACGGTAAAGTTAACGTAAGTGATACAGCACAGGGCCGAGAGTACAAGTGTCCATGTAACAAATTTGAAAGGCACTAATAAAATACCAACATCCGACTTTCGTAAGGGTTACGACTAGAATAAGTACTTGAATAACTGATCCGAAGTAACGAGTAGTGAATCCAAAAGTAACTAGTCGGTACGAGTATTCAAAAGTAATCAAATTTCATACCAGTAACATACAACCAGAATTCTTCCACGCCGTAATAAATGGCATGGCAAATTGATGGCGGGAGCGTTAAAACTGTCTATATTGATGGTGAATCTTATGCGCAACTTTTACATTTATTGTATGAAATTAGTGCGAATGGCGTGAAACCAGGTGAGAGGAAAATTCAGGCGGTTCGAGATTTTCCAGCACCTAAAGGTGTGCATGACGTACGACATTTTTTGGGATGGGCAAGTTAGTTTCGGAAGTTTGTCCAGAGTTTTGACGTAATTGCACGATCTTTGTCAACATTAAGCAAGAAAGTTGTATCGATGAACGATATGAGCACGATCTTTTGTATCAAATTTTTCATAAACTTTTTAAATATTATTATAGATCTAGGGAGAGAAATATGACTTCTCACTAGGTAAATTTAGTAAATAATGGGTACATCTCAGTTTACTAATAAAAAAGCAATGTACAACCTGATGTAATGATCTTGAGTACCTGACCCCATTCATGTTATTTATTAATTCGTGGCATAACTGAACGAATTTGCATTTATAGAAAATTATGCTCTGATATACATAATTCTAGCTTTATAATAGATAATCTATAATCTAAGCTTTACTTCCTCAGAAAAAGGCTATCGACCACATGGCCTTTCTGTCCTTGTATTTACAACTAAATTTTAGAAACTGAACTATTATTTAAACTGTATAAACTAAACTAAAAGTGGTTGCCGGAGAACTGAAACAATATTGTCTTTTTCGGTCTTGTTAGGCAGAGATGGTTCATTATAGTCCAATTCTGCGGGTTGCTTGTCCATTTCGTTTCCACTCGTTTTAGTTTTAGTCTTTTATTTTTACCAAATTCCTGCCTTCGTATAGTAAATGGTTAGATGGATTGTGTAGTGGTTTTGGGGGTGTCTTATTCGTGTTATAAGTCTTAGAGCAATTTGTTCTGTTGTTTGTATATATCGTTTTGTCCTTTCTGTTCCATTGGTCATGCGTATATGTCCGTAGTCTAACAGGGGTCTGCAAATAGCTTTGTATATTTTGGTGGCGGTATTAGTGCTGGTTACTTTGTCTTTGTATGTTAGTGATTGGAAGTGTTTTGTTCTTTTTATTGTTTCTGACCTGATGTTCGTATGTCTTTAGTGAATTTAAGTTTGTGGTCAATTGTCGTTCCTAGGTATTTTATGTCTTTTTTTTTCGTTCTGTCCTTTGGCTGTCTGCAATTATTGTAGGAGAGTCAGCATTGAGCCTGTGGTTTGTGAGTAGAAGTTGATTTTTTGTAGGGTTTGTTGTTAATGTCCCATTATAGAACGATGACCAAGTTGTAATTGTAAATGTCATGGCAGGATATGATATAGAGGAACGGTGAGAGCGGGGATCCTTAAGGGAGTCCTTGTTCAGGGGAGAAAGAAAAAGAGAATGTGTTGTAAATTCGTACTTGTCTATTTTCAAATAAGTTTTTTATGGTGTGGAGTAGATATGTTGGTGTGTTTAGTTTGTATAGTAAGCCTTTATGCCAGTCAACTGCTTTGTTGATATGATGCCATCCATGAATAGGCATGCCGACTTTCTGTCAGTTAAGTGAGTTGTAGAGTTATAATTATATGGAAAAAGTTGATTTTTTTCATCAATCTGATTAAGTAGAGGTTAATGTATTTTTTAACGATTTTTAAGCAACTTGTATAGAACTGTATGGAAGTGTATAGAACTTTGTAATGTTTATATAAAACTAATTTTAAGTATAGATATAGATATCGTCAATTTATTAAAGTTCAATAAATTCTTTATTTCTATTGTTTTACATGTGATAACAAAAAAAATAATATCGTGTGGTAAACTAAAGGGGGAAAATGGGAGATTTGATGCGAAAGTGTGATATGCATTAACAGATTTAGCTAGATCAAGCGCATTGAAAATAATTTGTGGATAAACTTGTTACTAATTAGTAACATTTAAACCATCAAAAACATTAAATTTAATCAGCTAGTTAAAATTATTTGTATACCTGACTTGTTGCAATAGTTTAAATTAATTAAACTCCTCATCGCATTCAGAACTTTTGATATTAAAATTTGCTATAACCGACAAATTATGTATCACTGCTGGTACAAACTGCTAACTAGCAGCTAGTTTTATAAGGATTGGAAAAAAATACTTAGATTTGTCCAAATGATGCAAAACATGGGTTTTTAGAAATCCGTAAACAATTCTTATTTCTGACAAAAAAGCTACCATCCCATCCATTCTTTCTCCTGTCGCGTGTCCATGTGTCTGATAAATTAACATGATAAAGCGATATCTACTAATTTAAGCTGCTTTTCCTAATTTTGATGTTTTATGATTATTTTATCCGGTTTCTTTTATTGCGCGTGCACGTTCGAGTAGACGCCTTGTGTACAGGTTTTATTAGTTCATAATCATAAATCAGCCATAATATCAGAATGTTAAAGGAAAACTGTATGGGCTAAACCTTATATGCGAAAGGAGAGTATGATGAAAATATATAAGACATGCATCAGGCCAATAATACATATAGTATAGAAGCCAGAAGGATACCAAAAACACCAAAAGTATGCTACGAGACGCCGAAATATTGAGAACGATAGCGGGGAAACAAGAAGAGACCACGTGAGAAGCACATACATTAAAGGACAATGCGACGTACATGGATGTGATGTGATGAGGAAGGCAGAGGAGAAAATAATGGTATCACCACGTGAAGAGAATTACTGACGATAGATTACCAAGCATTGAACCAGAAGGAAAACCGGCAGGCACCCGTTCTCCCGGAAGTCCACCAAAGAGATGGAGAGACAGTTGGCAGTCCACACCTCAGGAAATATTCCATAGGCAAGTCCGGAGTCAGAAAATCATCTGGGTCTCG